TCAGCGAGCGGTCCACGTCGTGGGCTTCTTCAAGTACTTCCTCATTTGATTTCTTTTCTTTCCAAGATATTTTCAGTAGTCTTGTAAGAAACCACATTTCTGTTGCTTCAATTTTATTTTCACTGTCTTTAGTGATTGTCTTGCATTCACAGCCAAAATATATAGAAGAGTTGACCATACATAGCATTTAGCACTTTTATTTTCGTAGTCATTGAGATGTTCTATTTTTCAGGATTAGGCTCATTTTATTGAAACTATCGTTTGTCATAGTAATTCTCGTCTTATTTCTGTGAAACGTTTGGCATCAAATTTTACTCTAATATATCCCTGATATTTAAACTGTTGAACCTATCTGGCCCCTTTGACTTTGCGTATGAGATTACAAATAGGACTTTACTGAATTTATAGATAATAACCCTTTACGTTCACTTTCCGTTACAAAAGTATCTAGAAGCGACTGAAGTTCCTTTTCCGAGTCAGCTATTAAAACTGTGTCATCGTCATATCTGATGTTATAAAAAGTTTCGCCATTCACTTAGAGACCTGGACATTCTTCTATGTTTCTAAGAATTGTTTCACTGTGTGTTAAAGAGGTCTGGTGACATAACACATCCTTACCTAATTCCTCTTCTAACCTTCTTATATTCACTGTATTCTCCATTAATTCATACAGCAGCATTTTGGTCCGAGTGCAAATAATTCCTGATAATTTTTAGATTTTTTTCTTTCTATGTCTATCTCTTCCAATACATTTGTATTTTAAATAGTTCATCATGTCTCACTTTATCGAAAGCCTTTGAATGATCTATGAAGCATAAATACAGATCTTTCTGTGCTTCAGTACATCTTTCAGTTAACACTATTACTATGGTAAATATATAGCATTTCTGGTGCCTTTGTCAGGAACAAACTGGAATTGGGTTTTAGATCTCTCTGGTCATGTATAAGCAAAAAAAGAGAACATGTATTCTCTCTCTCTCTCTCTCTCTCTCTCTCTCTCTCTCTCTCTCTCTCTCTCTCTCTCTCTCTCTCTCTCTCTCTCTCTCTCTCTCTCTCTCTCTCCCTTTCTCTCTCTCTTTCTCCCTTTCTCTCTTTCTTTCTTTCTCTCGTTCTCTTTCTTTCTCTCGTTCTCTTTCTTTCTCTCGTTCTCTTTCTTTCTCTCTGTCTGTCTCCCAATCTATCTTTCTGTGATAGATAGATAGATAGATAGATAGATAGATAGATAGATAGATAGATAGATAGATAGAGTGAGTGAGTGAGTGAGTGAGTGAGTAAGACAGAATACATAGACCGGAGAGGAAAATGATAGTCCTTGCGTTAAATTAAAACGAATCTCATTTAACCTTGCAGACATACTTTCTTATTTCTCTCAGTGTGTTTTTCGTTCTCGTATTTCCTTTTTCAACTTTCTGCCCGCCTGGTTGGCTTTTAATCTTGTGGGGTGTTTCTAATTATAATCATTGATATGACGTTTGGCAGAAAGAGCAAAAATCACAAGCGTCTCATATTGAGAACTTTCTTGCTTCCATTTTCCATAATCTTTCGGCATGGCTAGCTCAGTCGCTCGTCAAAATTGGGCGAAAATCTGGCTGCACATGGAAACGTCTTTATAACTTTTTCCACGTTTTGATATCTTAAAGCTCAGTGTGTTCTGTTCTGTTTTGTATTTTGGTGGGGATTTTAGAGTCGATTTTTTACTCTTAATTTATTGATTTGTTCGAGCATTGGCTAGTTATTTGGTTTTTTAACCATATTTTTTTAATTGTTGCTGTTGTTGTTGCTGTTATAGGGAAGGGGAGCTGTTGCTTTTTTCTGTTTTTCTGAATGGGGGGGGGGGGTGTTAACCCAGGTCTTTTTTATCAATAATGTCAGGAAAATGAATCGCTCCACTCTTTGAAGAGTATATGATAATGCTGTCCAAACAAAACTGTGTACTTAATACTGTCCTCTGATTTTACAAGAACCGTCTCGGTGACGTCACCACATAATGGCATGGTTTTACTGAATTACTTATGAAAGTGTTGAAAAGGGATTCTCAATGACAATAGCAAAGAGTCGTTAAAAAAAAGTCAGTTGAGTAACAGAAGCACACCTTGCTCGGCTTACATGAAAACCTGGAACCCCTCAGGGCAGTGCTACTGACTGAAGTTGTCTTTAGGCCATTCCCAAAGGGGGGATATCAATATGTTCTTATGCACAGTAGAATTTTAAAGGGGCTGATCACCAATGGCATGCTCATACTGTGCCAGAACAACATATAGGGGGAACTGCTGCTTTTTTCTCTCCTCATCCTTTCTATCGTCATTTAATTTTTTCCTCTATTTCTTTTGTATGTTTGCCACTCCCTTATGAACTGTTTTTCCGGGGTGCCTTGATAGTCGAACTTTGTGCTGTTTAGGCTAGAGAGGTGAGCAGAGTAAGCCGTATTCACCGTTTGGATTTCTCTGTTGACATCCACCCCTTGGCGCTCATATTATGACCTTAAGCAGTTGCGAGAGCCGTAAAACATTACTAACGCACACGGAAACCTGGTGTGGAAGTAACACGGTTAATATTTTGAGTTTGCCAATCACTCACGGTTCCTCCCGTCGTTCAAAATTCAATAACCACTTCGCTACCTTAGAATTACAACGTTCTGTCTGGCATTTTTTTTTTTTTTTTTTTTTTTTTTTTTTT